GCCCCCACCGCCCCCGAAGCAACCAGACCCGGGCCCAAAGCAGGAAAAGGGACTCTACAGACGCACGCGGGAAGACCCCGGATGCCCGCCCGTCTCGGCCTCCCCCGTTCCGACCGCCCCAGTGTCACTCACCAGCCGGACGGCAGGACAAAGGCCGCGGTCGCCACCAGCCGGGTCTGGGCCTGCGCGGGCGGGCGCCCAACTACATCTCCCAGAGGGCGGCGCGCGCACTTCCGGTCGTTTCCGTGCTCGCCTCGCCCCCGCCCGGGGCAGTGGCTCGTGCGTTCGGAGTACGAGCTAGGCTTCGAGGACCCCCGCCGGCCTTAGCCTCGCCTCCCCGCCCCAAAACCCTTCCACGCCGTATTCCCTTGTCGGATGGCCGGACGAAGGCCACGCCCGCGTTTGACTGGGACTGCGCCTGCGCAGGCGGCGCCGAACTACAACTTCCAGAGGCCCGCGCGCGGGGTCCGTGGGTTCTGCCCCAGCCGTCCGGTCGTGGGGGGTCGAGTTCGAGTTTCGACGACCGTGCTTACGGTGTGGTCGCAAGTGTCCAGTGCCCGCGGGCTGTGCCGTGGGCCCCGCGAACGTCGCCCCCGCGCTCCTACAGCGGTAACTGGCCGGGGACTAGTGTAGACAGAGTGGTCGGGGGGTCAGGGAGGACGCTGAGCGAGGCCGTGGGAAGATCCCGAGCAGCAGTCTCCGCGAGGAGGTCGCAGCCGGGCCGAGGCCGCGTGGGCAGGGCCTGTGAGTGAGGTGAGTCCTCCCGGAGCAACGACATACTGCTTTCATGTTGGAAACTGTGCCGTGAACTTTATTGTTGTAGAACAAACTGGTGTTTCCAAAAAACAACAAAAAGTGCAAGACACAAAAATGACACACAAAATTAAAACAGATACGTTCGCTAAGATGCCAAATACAAGAGCCGGGTACGTTCTGCCACGCCGACCCTGCCTTGCAGTATTTAGGACGTGGTTGTAGGAAACATCCCGTGGTAGACACGTTTTACATCGTCGTCAGATGTGTGCATTTGAACAGCAGCATAACATTCAAAGCTGATGGGTCCTCAGTGACTGAACCCGTCATGGGCTGAACATTGACCAAGGCTTGCCAGGCGCTGGGCCCAGGGTACGGCAGCCAGCAGTGGCCCAGGCGCCAGTGGACAAGGTGTGCACCTTCGCCATGCACCCACTCAAGCCAGACTTCTTTCACTGGTGTGCATGGACCATCCCTAGAGCAGTGAGTGGAAAGAATCTCACCAAGGCTGAGCCATGTGCACTTGCCCCATTAGGAAAGACTAATTGATTCAAGTCCGGGCTTGCATGCTGGATTTGAAGCTGAGAAAAAGTGTCAAGGCAAGGGCATTTTTTCTTTGACTGGAACAACAATTTGTTTGAAACAACTCTGACTCTGAAAACAGCAGAGAAGACAGGAGGAATTCTCACGTTAGGGAAAAACCTAGCTGGGTACCTTTTCTTTACACACAAAGACACTTAAAAGATTAGGCTGGTTCTCACATGAGTAGAAGACTTTAAATTTCATAAGCCCTACAGCAGTGGTTGTTAGGAAAAAATATGATGGATGGCTCAAAATCAGAATGCACTGATGTAAACAAGGCAAAGACAAGCTTAACGGCTTTTCTTTAAAGTGTTTTGTACATTCAAAGACTATAAAGGCCCACATTTGTGATTGTCATACTGAAAGCCCACCTTCTCTTCTCTGTACTACAGATGAAGGCTTTAAAATATACATAAAATGTCAGTTATCAGTTCTTTCACCTGCAAACCAAAATGCAAAAAGAGACTTATTTTTTCTGTTAGTTTTTTCTTCCACAAAATGTGTACTCTTCCCCCTACTTTCCTTTTACTGTATCAGAAGGCATGTACACGCTACTCATGATGAAATCTTTTCCCCAAAAGGTCTGGGCAGAGTCCTGGTAATGAGCTGTTGATTGTGGTGCCACACACACTTGCCTGCGCCTGGGGACTTACCCAGCCCAAGTATTGAGCCGGGTTGCCCTGCTCAGCTCCCTTGGGACTTGCCCTTCTGTTACCTTCCTCTACCCTCCTAATCCTTGTTTTTTTTCCAACCAGCTTTCACAAACTCAAATGCCTGCAGGCGCTGGGCTCTAAAGGGTTGGGTGCTGATGGTCTCAACCAGCTGGTGCCATGTGAACAGGTAAGCCCAGTGTATCAGGTCTGGACTTCTCAAAAGAAGCCAAAGATTTGGTTTTGTGTGTGAAATCTCTTGATTCACAGGAAATTCAAAGCTTTTAAAAACACTATCAATTAAACAAGATGATCTGAAGGCTAGCTCTGTGTTGCCTTCACCCCTCCAGACCATGTTGTAGCCAGTGGCTGGGCCCCACTTACGCCAGTCTCAGCTTCCTCTAGCCACAGGGGTCGCCTCCACCTGGCTGTGACAGGACAGCACCAGGAGCAGTCGCATTAGGAATCAGTGTAGGTTTCAAGGAATTCTATAGTCATGTAGTGGATAGCGCAACTTCACTACACTCTTTTTGTTAAATTGTTCGATATACACATTTAAATATATTACAGTGATTAGCCTTGTATATATATTTCATCCTTTTTAAAAAAAAAAATCATTTTGGGAGCCTCAAAGCCTAGCAGTGCCCAGGCCTCTGCTCCCAGAGGCCCTGACTGCGGTGGGGAGGAGGGTGGTATGTTTGCCTCTGGTTCTGGAGCGTGAGATGATGAGGACTTGCACTGCATCACAGCACCCAGTACCTGGCCCAGCAGAGCTCCGTGACAAGCGCTGGAGGACAGACAGGGAGGCTGGGAAGCGTCCCAGTGGGCAGGTGTTGGGGTCCTGCAGGGGACACTGGCAGATGAAAGCAGAGCATGAGCCAAGCATGCATGGAGTGAGCAGAAAGAGAAGGGGGGGCTGGTGTTCTACCTCGCTACAGCTTGAGCAGCATCTTGGGACTAGGCAGGCTGGGCAGTTAACTCAGTTTAGCAGCTTCGGTGAATCGGGATTCTGAGGAGTGACTCTTCAGGGCCAGGACCCTGGGCCACATCCGTGCCTGTGTCAGCCAAGGCAGAGAGTGTTGAGGGTGGCCTTCCGTGATGCTTCCTGCCACCCCATCTCCTCAGAGGTCCAAGTAAGGTTCCTTGGTTGGTCACTGAAGCCCTGAGGTGGGGTCTTGGCAGTGGCTGCAGCTCACTTACTCATTTGATTACCATTCACCCATTCTCACTCGCAAAGGGCTGCTCTGTGCCGGGCGCTAGTAAAATGCTCCAGTGAAGACTGTTCTGAGCAGAGGAGGCAGCCCTTGAGGAGGGGAGGAGGCCCAGCATGGGAGTCATTGTGGAGACAGGCAGGGACAGAGAGGGTGCAGGAGGCCAGCCTACACCACCCCAGCGCTGGGGGCTACTGAAGCAGGAAGGGATTCGAGGGAACTGGTCGGCTGGGCTTTATGTCATCTCAGTGTGGCTGCTTCAGAGGGATCCTGCCGGCTGCTGGGACTGGATGGGATGGAGGGGAATGGGCTGGAGGCAGAGTTTGCTTAGAGGCAGCTGCAGACATTCAAAGATGTAAAAAAGAAGATAGAAGAAAGGGAGGCTGGGGCAGTTAAGTGCAGAGGAGAGAAGAGAACAGGGCGATCCTTGGGCCTTGCAGGGTGGAGGGATGGCATATAGGGGAGGCAGTTGTTTTTCTTTCGATCAAGGGTTCTTTGGACAAGCTCAGTTGGAGGACTGAGGGACATCAGGCAGATGTCTCTGGAGGGCAGTTGGTCTGTGGGATGCCCGGGCAGACATCTTCCGAGAACCCCATCTTCGGAGCTGTTAGTGTGAGGATGGTTGGGCCCGTGGCAGTGAGGGGCCTGACTGACGTCTTGTAGGCAGCAGCCTCCACGCTCTCGTACAATCCTGCTCCAACCCAGAGAGCTGTGAATGTGCCCCTGGCTTAGGGGGATTAGAATGAAAAATGCATTGGAATAAACCTCTGGCCCCCAACAAGTGGGGACACTGTGATTTCTTTGTCCACATGTCCTGTCACCTTAAACAAACCTGTCCATCATGTGTGCTGTAACTGAAGGATCAGGGGCTGTCTGTAGGGCCAAGACCCTCACCCTTGCCACCTGAGCTCCAAGGAAGAAACTCTGCCTCAGCAGGATGAGAAAGAAGTTGCTTAGGAAAGAGCTGGAGCCCACAAGAAATTAAGGCATGGAGTAGAGCCAGAAGCCCCCAGTGAGGACTTCGAGGATAAGCCAGGATGCTGGAGCGAGCCACGAGCAAGGTCTGGAGGCCCAGCTAGTGAGAGTTCCAAGAAGGCAAGCACGGCGAAGGGTGCGAAGGCCGCGGAGGGATCTGCATGGCCCAGGACGGTGCTAGCGGACAGAGGCTACAAGTGGGATGCAGGAGGCAGCGTGGTGGAGAAGCAGCAGTGGGCTGGGCGGGGCAGATCCAAAGGCTTTTCCAGTTGAAAGGCGACTTATGGATGATTTAAAGGAGAAGGTCTCTGCTTACATGTGGTCAGAGTCAATCCAACACTATTTCCAAGTAAAGTTCAAAAAACAAAACAAAACAAAAAAAACTTCTAAGGCTTTCATTTACATGGGGCAAGTGGTGCCCAGCGATGAAGAGCTGGGGATGGATGAAAAGCCGAATCCAGGTGCGCACACGCTATCCCCAGAAGTGGTAGGGTAAACTGAGGTGCTTGGGAGACCCCACACCTGCTCTTGGGAAATCCAGGGTGACCATAATGCCAGATTTTTATGTGACATCTATGATTTGAAAGATGTTGGCATTTATCTCAAAAAAAAGTCATTCTGTGAATCAAACAAAATCATGTGCTGGTCAGATTTGGTTGGACCTAAAAACCCTGCCCGAAATCCATTCAGAAAGAAAGCAGATTAATAGGTGTCAGGGGCTGAGGGAGGGGAGATGGGGAGTGACTGCTAATGGGTATGGAGAACCCATTTTGGGAATGATGAAAATATTCCAGAATTCCAGAATACAGGGTGGTGATGGTTGCACAACGTTATGCATGTACTTAATGCCACCGAATTGTGCATTTTAAGTAGTTAAAATGGCAAGTTTTATGTTGTGTGTACTTTATCGTGAAAAAGGAATGGGGGGGGACAAAAAAAAAAGAAAAGAGGAGGAAAGTTCCACATAAAAGAACCCCACGCGTGTGCCAGGCTTCCAGGGGCTGGGCGGGCAGCAAGCCTCCTTCCGCGGAGCGCAGGAGGGCGGCCAGGTCAAGGGCGCCGAGGCCGACCTGGCGCCCCCGGGAAAGGCTCCTGGAACTGGTGGCGCTGGCCAAGCTCCTCTTCTGTAGCTTGCGGAACACAGACGGCCGACCGCCGAGCTGAGCGCGGCGCTGGGGGGCGCTGTCACCCAAGGAACGCGGCCGGCGCGGCGACACTCGGAGACGTGGCGGGTCCGGGTCGCCTACAGGACGAGTCCGCCAGGGGTCGCTGTCACCCGGGGAACGCGGCGGCGGGGCGGTGGGTCCCGGGTCGCTCCGCAGGACGAGACTTTCGGGGGTCACTGTCACCCGGGGTAAGCGCCAGGCGCGGCGGCACCCGGGGGACGCGTCGGGGCCCGGGTCGCTCCGCAGGACGAGTCCTTCGGGGTTCGCTATCACCCGGGGAAAGCGCCAGGCGCAGCGACACCCGGGAGAGGCGGCGGGGCCCGGGTCGCCTGCAGGACGAGTCCGCCAGGGGTCGCTGTCACCCGGGGAACGTGGCAGCGGGGGTGGCGGGGCCCGGTCGTTCCGCAGGACAAGCCCTTCGGGGGTCGCTGTCACTCGGGGAACGCGGCGGGCGCGGCGAAACCCGGGAGACGCGGAGGGTCCCGGGTTGTCTGCAGGACGAGCCCTTCGGGGGTCGCTGTCACCCGGGAAACGCGGCGGCAGGGGTGACGGGTCCCGGGTCGCCCCCAGGACGAGCCCTTCGGGGGTCGCTGTCACTCGGGGAACGCGGCAGGCACAGCGACACGCGGGAGACGCAGCCGGTCCCGGGTCGCTCCGCAGGACGAGCCCTTCGGAGGTCGCTGTCACCCGGGGTAAGCGCCAGGCGCGGCGACACCCCGAGACGCGGCGGGTCCGGGTCGCCTACAGGACGACTCCGCCAGGGGTCGCTGTCACCTGGGGAACTCGGCGGCGGGGGTGGCGGGTCCCGGGTCGTTCCGCAGGACGAGCCCTTCGGGGGTCGCTGTCACTCGGGGAACGCGGCGGGCGCGGAGACACCCGGGAAACGCGGCGGGTCTTGGGTCGCCCCACAGGGGGAGTCTGCCGTGGGTCGGTGTCACCCGGGGTAAGCGGCAGGTCTGGCGACACCCAGGAGACGCGGCGGCGGGGACGGCGGGTCCCCGGTCGCCCCGCAGGACGAGCCCGCTGAGGGTCGCTGTCATCGTGGGTAAGTGGCAGGCGGGGCGACACCCAGGAGACGCGGCGGCGGGGACGGCGGGTCCCGGGTCGCCCCGCAAGACGAGTCTGCCGAGGGTCGCAATCACCCGGGGTAAGCGCCAGGCGCGGCGACGCCCGGGAGACGCGGCCGGTCCCGGGTCGCCCCGCAGGACGAGTCCGCCGGGGGTCGCTATCACCTGGGGGACGCGGTGGCGGGAGTGGCGGCTCCCGGGTCGCCTGCAGGGCGAGTCCGCCGAGGGTGGCTGTCACCCGGGGGACTCGGCGGAGGGGACAGCGGGTTCCGGGTCGCCCCGCAGGACGAGCCCTCCGAGGGTCGCTGTCACCGGGGGGACGCGGCGGGGGTGGCGGCCCCCGGGTCGCCTGCAGGACGAGTCCGCCGGGGGTCGCTGTCACCCGGGGCCCGCGTCCGCTCACTGCGTGGCGTGCAGTTTCTGGTGGTCGAGGAGGTGGACCATCCAGGGGAAGGCCTTCCCGCAGACGCCGCACTCGAAGGGCCGCTCGCGGCCGCAGGGCTCCCCGCGTCGGTCTCCATCCGCGTCCTGGGCGCGGGGGCCTCCATCCGCCGCTTGCAACGGGCCGGCCTCCCCTGGCCCCTCGCCCCCGCCCCGCCGGGGCCTCTTGGGCAGCGGCTGCAGCAGGTGGATCTTCCGATGCTCCTCCAGGACGGAGGCGTGCAGAAAGGCCTTGCCGCACTCGGGGCACGAGAAGGGTCCCTCTTCCAGGTGGCGCTTCTGGTGCTCGATGAAGTGGGTGACCCAGGTGAAGACCTCCCCGCACTCGGCACACGCGAAGGGCCGCGCCCCTGGGGGGACTTGGGTCGCCGCTGAGCGCCCCGAGGAGTGGGCAGCAGCCGGTTGCCCTGCCTCTTCAGGGGAGGCTTTGGTGTCTTTGAGTAAGGGCGGGTGGGCATCGCTGTCCCCAAGTCTCTTTTGGGGACTGCTGCTCTGAGCACTTGGGAGGGTGGGGTCTGCAACCAGGCCGGGCTGAGGGCTCGGGTGCAGGGGCCCCTCGGGAGCAGGCCCTTGGCCTCCAGTGCCCTGAAGCACAGGGTCCCTGGGGGCAGCCCCTGCCTGCCAGGTACCCCCTTCTGCCTGGGGAGCGTCCTGGGCCAGCCTGGGGAGGGAGTGTCTGTTCCTCAGGGCTCTGTCCCCCACCTGCCCACAGGGAGGTTCATCCCAGATACTAGGCTTCAGAGGTGAGCAGCCCAGGCCTGGGGAGGGTGAGGGAAAAGGGTTAATTGTTAGCGAAGGGGCAGGGGCTGGAGGCCGCACTCTGGGAATCTCCCTGCCCTCCTTCCCCCCAGGGACTGCTGAGAAGCCCAGGCAGCCCGTAGCCTGTACTCAGTAGGGCCTTAGTGCCCTCAGTCCTTTCCTTTCTTAAGATAAAGGGATAGGTGGGGTTGGGGGGCAGATCCCGTGGCCCTGGGCCCCCTTGTCCTCACCTGGGCAGGTTGCTGAGGGGACCCCAGGCTGCAGCATCTTCAGTCTGTCTGCCTTCATGCTAGGAGGCTGAAGCCCTGGTCAAGGGGTGGAAACGTCTGAGTGGCTGTTGCGGGGGGCGGGGGCGGGGGGCGCGATATCAGTCCCCACTCCTGGTGTGCACAGTTTCTGGGGTAAGGTATAGAGTTCATCACCAAAGCCCCCCAACACTGCCATCAGCATAGTCAAACCCTTGCCAGACTTGAAATCCATTCCCAGCCCTCAGGATTGCCGTAGGACCCAAACACTCACCGAGTGAGCCCAGGGTGCAGGATGCCTCGGCCCCCGCCCTGGTGTGGGGACTCCGCTGGGGCTGGGCAGGCTGCGGCCACTCGCCCTCCTGGGGGAGCCCCAGCTCCGATGCCTGGAATGGCAAACACAGTCCTGCTCAGCAACTGCCCCACGCCGCCAGGGCTTGGAGCAGCCACCAGAGAGCCATCTGCCCAGTGCCACCACAGCAGAGGGACAGCATTGCCTCCTTTCAAAACCCCAAGAATAGCAAAACTAAAGCCACCGCTCCCCCCTCCCCAAAAAGGTGCCAAAAAAAAAAAAAGCCACCAAACCAATAAACAGTATTTAGTAAGAGTTTATTGTACAGATAAGAATAGTCTACGAACTGGGAGCTTTGAAATCCAAGACTGATAGGAAGCCTGGAGGCTTGTACAGTGAAAATGAGGAGGTTGTTTAACCTTCTTGATGATGGTTATTACAAAGGGGGTTTCCAGACAGCAGGGGCTGGCTCAAAGTGATTATCTTATACCGTGTTTAGGAAGATGACTTAAGTTTCTTTACTGATCATCAGAGGTATTTGCACGAGGTGGCCCAGGTTATGTTTTGCTGGCTTTGCAGAACACACTAAATTAAGTCTCACTTATGCGGTAAGTGGTTTTGTCTGCTCAGGGAATGTTCAAGTCTGGTCTCCATTTTGTATTTAATTTTAACACCCCAAATGCACATTCCCGAGGGACTGTTACTAGGACTGGAGACATAATTCGAGGGCCCCCCTGTGCAAAATGAAAATGCAAGGCCCCTTTGTGATGGTTAGTGTTAGGAGTCAATGAGCTAACGGATGGCCCAATAGCTGGTAAAGTGTCATTTCTGGTATCTGTGGGGGTGTCTCCAGGGAAGACTAGCTTTTGTACTGGCAGTCTGAATAAAGATCATCCTCACCAATGTGGGTGGGCATCACCCAAGCTGTTGAGGGCCCAAGTTGAACACAAAGGCAGAAGGGTGCATTTGTGCTCTCTGCTTGAGCTGGGACAGCCACCTTCAGCCCTAAGACATTGAACCCCTCCTTGATTCTTGGGCTTTGGACTCAGACTGAGACTCCTGTGGTCTTTTTTTTTTTTTTAAA